GCCCCTATGGAGGAAGTGAGATGAAAAACCAAGTGTAGCCATAGTAGAGGAGGTCACATTCGAAGCTCAGCAGGGGTGATCTCAGGTTACCAGCCTTTAATGCCCCCTCCAGCCCCACCCCATGGTCTTATCTAGGGGGCCTTGTGCCTTCCCATTGAAGTCTCTCTATTCTCCTCCCCTACCTACCATAGCAGCACTTTGGCCTGCTTCTGATCCTAGAACTGAGTTGAAATGCTTCACCCCTCCTTCCCTAGTTGAAAGTTCCACTCTGAGCCTTGACTCTTGGCCACAAGTGAGGCATGTTGGAAGTTCCTTGGCCTCCTTTACCTTATATGGATTCCCTGTGGACCGGTAGACCAGGAATTCTCAGGGAAAGATTTGACTGATTCTGGCCCTTTGAGTCCAGGATTCTGTGACATCAGGGGGATGATCAGACGACCTTTAGTGATCTTTTTGGCCTCTGAGAATCAGCCAGTGGTTTCTAATTTTGAAATAGAAACAGTTGGGTTAGTTTAAGCGTAGGGTATCATAATCTCAATGCAGTCGAATCATTTGAATTTACTAACCAAATAATTGCGCTTTAAAACTCAGGCTTGATAGTGGTAACTTAAAATATCTAATGACAATTATGAGGAATCTTGAGCTTCATTAATCTTTTAAGTGCTGCCAAGTTGATTACTCTGGTAGCCCATATCTCCTTGATATTCATTAGGGAGCACTGGGTTTACTTTTAGGGGGCTGGTAAGGTAGGCAGGTAAGGTCAGTTCTTCCCAGAATCCTAGAATATTCTCTCTGGTGCCTCTGATTGAGGGTGTTGGAAGAGTCTACCTAGGTCACAGTTCTGAAGACAGGCAGTAGCAAGAAGTAACCCTGTAGAACTGGTACCCCTCACCTTCCTTATTAGGTGTCCATCTCAAATACAGAAAGTTTAGAAAATATTGTTTTTGTCATTTGGTATTTCTATGCCTGACTTACTTGTGGAATAAATGTTTTCTGACTTTTCTATTTCCTTGCCCTGCACAGATCCCACCTGCTAAGATTTTCTATCCCTTAGCTCAAAGTGTCTATAGAATGGATTGCTTGGTATGTCAGCTATCCTCACTCTGTGTGATAGAAATATCTTTCCAGGTTGGGGACATGGAGGGGACGAACTGGATTCCTCCCTCCTTCTGTTTCCAGGCCTCTGCATTAGCACTTTATCTGCTCAGTGTTTCTGGCTGTGTTGGGTTTATTTGTGAAATTGACGTAATTAACAATAAAGTGAAATATTCCCCTCTGTGTGCTTGTCTGATAAAATGTCTGTCTGTCGGGGCCCTGGAAGGTGGGGGAGCCTGGGAACAGCCTAATTGCATGGGTGTTTGTCTCATAGGGTCTTCTGAACACTAGGCTTTGTTGCTCTCATTTCCTCTATTGCTACTGCCCCTTCAGCTCTCCCTCTTACTGCCTGTATGCCCTTGGGCAAATCAGTGGACCTCTCTGAGCTTGGTTTTGTAATCTATAAAACAAGTGATAATAATACTAACTTTACAGAATCAAATGAGATAATCCCTGTAAAGTGGTTGGCATATGGTGCTCCCTCACAGCTTTAATTCCCTCCCAATCTTTTATGGTGGCTCAGCAGCATGAGAACACTTCCTTCTAGAAAAGGAAATACAAACCTCGTTTCTCGAAATTCTCCCATTTCACCCAAGTTGTTCACAGAAAAAAATGCTCAGTTTTCGAGCTGAATACCCTTTCAAGCTGATACCCTAGCATGACAAAAAGCTGCTCTCAGGCAACAAACTAAGGAGAGAATGCTTTTGTTGCTGGTGAAATCAAAGATTAGCACAATTTTAAAACAGGCCACCAAGAGTGCTGATGTTGCTTAGGGGAGCCAGTTCTTTCGCCAACTTCACACCTTTCGGAGCCCGACCTGGCCCGGCCCAGCCCCGTGGCCCAGGCCCAAGCCCAGGCAGCACCT